TTCAAAGATGCAACTCTGGCATTAACACATGGAAAGTGGCAATCTTGAAATGTTCACATTCACCAAGCAATGGCAAGGTGTTCACACTGCTGCACTGTGTGAGATAATAGTTAAACATTTAAAAACTCTCGAGGAGAAGTTGTCATTTTATTTCTCTTCAGTCTCCACTGAATGCCTTGACTGGGTTAGGGACCCTTATAGCTCAGCAAAACCATAGTCATATACCATGATCAGAACAAAATAAGGCAAGTGGAGCATCTACTGGAAAAGGATGCTAGCGGTTATTGGTATGAAAATTTATTTGGTTATTCCAGTAAGGCCAATGGGGTTTTGAATTATTTAATCCATCCGATTGTGGTACTACTCATTCTTGCTGTGGTTTTATCACTGGTACAAGTGTATATGTGTTGTTTGACCAGAAATGTATACAAAAGGATTTCGAATATGTATAGTAGAGTTGGAGGACAAATTAACAGTAAGGTCTTGGAGGCTGTACTGCCAATGAGGTGTCCAGAACAGCCCAGAGTATGCCAAAATTGTGGCAGTGCAGGCCATGATGAGCGGGCTTGCATGATCCCAAGCCGTGCTTACCAAAATGGGATATAAGGGATGGAGATTAAATGTAAAGTTTGTGTAATTGTTTCTCCAAGGACATGATTTGTCACTTTTCTATGGGAGTATGTAAAAACATTTTTTTTTTGTCTATGGGAGAATGTAAACATTTTTGTTCTGCGTTACTGTTTTTGTCGGTGAAGGGTTAGTGCTGGAGTGGAATGTATTAATTTAGTATAATAGTTGCAGTCAGTCCATCCTCTGTGTGCTAGGTCTGAAGGTTGGTTTGGAACTGCCATTTAGGTAGTCTGAGTGAATGTTGGAGAATGAATGGATACCCCTTTGCTTGTGTTTGCCCATATTGCAGTTCTTTACCCCAAGAAGTCGTCTGAGAGGAGAAGGCCAAGAAATAGCGACGTGGAGATGCCTTATGGAAAATGGAAAAGCGGCATATGTTGGAATGTACACCATTTTTCATGTACGAAAACTGCCAAACAGCTATCTTCAAATCTTGACTCTGAGAGTGCATGGGTTATCAAAGAAACCAGCTGTGTGTTATTCACGCCTGCAGGAGGCATGGCAAGGGAGGTAATAGAGATGAGATTCCTTCATCTGGACAGGAGGTCATGCATTGCACCCTGTGGTGTTGATAGGGGTGTATGCACATTGGGAAGACACCCTCAAGATATCCTGCTTTGCATATGAAGGTGGCTGGCCATTGTCTAAAGATCAAAGGACAAAGTGTTGACCTAGACCAAGGAATGACCCCTGCTGGAGTACGATAGTGCCCCCTGCTGGAAGACTACAGTGCATGTGGACAAGTATGAAGGACGATGCCGATTGGCCGAAAGACCTATAAGGGACGTGCGGAATTATGGGTAAAGGGGTGTCGATGTATGTGTATGAATGGGTCCGGTTTACTATAAAAGTCCGTACTCAGCTATATTGCTCTCTCTCTCTGAGCCCAGCCAAGACATAGAAACCAAAGGACAGACTTGCTGCGTAAAGTATTCTCTTGATTGTCTTATTGTACTTTTGTATCTGTTTTTATCTTTTATTATGTTTAGTTATAGTTGTGTATAAATAAATAAGACCGTTGCTTCTTTTAACCATTGTATTGTTATCATCATTGGAAGCAGAGAATAGCAAGTTAGCTTATTTCAGGAAGCCAAGGCAATTTAGATATTACACGGGGTCATTCCGGTAAGGAGTGCAACTATCCTTTTCTTTTTTCCCCCCCACAGACGCAGCCCCCCCTGTGTAACCAAACAGACACAGCCCCGCAGTGTAAGTCACAGTACTAATCAAATGCAATTGAGGATGGCAACCAGCTATAGAAAACTACAAATCTCAGCAATCCACGATTGCTGGCTGCCATCCTCCATTGCGGAATTATGGATTGCTGAGATTTATAGTTCTCTAAAACCGGTTGCCATTCTCCATTGCTTTATGATCCTGGATTTATGCGATTTGTAGTCCTCTTTTGCTGATGGTATTATTCTGCATTGATGTATAATGTATTGCTGGGATTTGTAGTGCTCTATAGCTGCTGGTACTCTGCACTGTTGTATAATGTATTAAAGGAGAACTATGAGATGAGTGATTTCCACTCCTATCTGTAGTCCTGTATAGATGGTGGTATTCTGCATTGATGTATTGCTGGGATTTGTAGTGCTCTATAGCTGGTGGTATTCTGCATTGCTGTATAATGTATTGATAGGATTTGTAGTCCCTCTACAGCTTGGAGTCAGTGGCAGAACTACCAGGAGCGCAGCGGCTAGGCCCTGGCGCTCCACCACTGACTCCAAGCTATAGAAGAACTAAAAAGCTCAGCGTGGACATCCTTCACATTGTGCCCGGATCACCTTAGTTGATTTTAAACCATTTATTTCTATATATTTTTTGGATATTTTTTAGGAAAACTGTGGCTCTAATAATTTCTCATTTACAGTTTTTCTTTCCCAAGGTGGAGACTTAGTTGGGCTACAAAAACACCAGCAAAATGTCAGCAGTGTGAAAGTATTTGAAAATCAATGAGAGCAACCCATGCATGGCAGACTGCAAACTTTGTTCTGCAAAATTATCAAGAGGTTCGAAACCGAGTCATTTTACCACCAGTAATCTCATAAAACATCTCACATTGAAAACACAAAAGTGAGCATGATGAATTTACCGCCGTCTCTAGCTCTAGAACACAATGGCCAACACTGCAGGAAATCCTAGCAAGACAAGAAAAAATGGCAAGGGATAACCCGAGGGTCATGACAATAACTGAGGCGGTTACCCAGTTCATCATTCTTGACAATCAGCCACTATCTATAGTTGACAATGTGGGTTTTCGGCAGCTTCTTTAGAATGAGATTCCTAGTCGCCCCTATGTCACAGATGTTGTCATACCACAGGTACACGACACAGTGAAGAAACACATCACCAACATGTTGCAGCAGGACGTAACGGCGATTAGATTCACCACAGATATTTGGAGCAGTAGTGCGAGTCCAGTATCTGTCATCAGTTTAACTGCACAAAGGATAGATGACAATTTCACTCTGTGGCAAGTCATGCTTCATGCAAAGAAATGTCAAGGCTCTCACACAGGCCAAGCCATAGCGAGTATACTTGAGGAAATGCTTAAGACTTGGGCCATTCCCAAAAGTTCTGTCCATTTTTTGGTCCGTGACATTGCCAGAAATATGACAAAAAGGCACAGATGCTGGAATTCTGAGTATTTCACGTGTGGCCCATACGCTGCAGCTGGCTGTGTCAGAGGGTCTGTTAGCACAACGCAGCGTTGCGAAAGCTGCGAGTCGGGCGCAGATCAAGCTCGGTCAACCAGTTAAAAGCCAACAAGATGTGCAAACTTGCTGGAATAACAAATTTAAATGATACAATCTCTGATTGAGCAGAAGCGGGCGAATGGAGTATATGTGTCTGAACATGAGCTCCCTGTCACCATCACTGCAAATGTGTGGAATCTCATGGAGTAGATGCTGAACATCTTAGCTCCCTTTGAAGAAATTACTCACCAAGTGAGATGCTTTGGCCTCAGATGTAATTCCTGCAGTCACCATGCTACAGAGAATGTTATCAAAAGAAGTGGATGAGGACCACGGTATTAAAACCATGAAGAGTTCTTTGCTTGCTGCTTTACAAGGCTATTCTCTTTTTCATTTATGTGTTAAATAAATAAAATAGGTATATATATATATATATATATATAGTTCCCTCCCTTTTATTGTTATTGTTCTAGTTTCAAAGTGCTCATATTTCTTTTTTCTTAATGCATAGACAGGGTATATGCAGGGCCGGTGCAGCCACCTAGGGCTCACTGATGCCTAGGGCACAGCCTCGACCACTTACCCCCCATGGTGCCCCCCCATTTTAAAATGGCAAAAGCCCCATAGCAGGCTAGCTATTGCACCCGCCCAAGGAGACAGCTTTCTCTCTCAGGTCCGCTCCTCTGCTCAGTTGCTGGTGTTTTAATAGCCAGTCTGCTATTGGCCATTTCAAATTAAAATAGCCAATAGCAGTCTGGCTATTGTCCCAGCTGCTTACATCCATCTCTGAGCCTAATGAAGAGGACCCTGTGCGGTCCCGAAAGTGCTTGCAAAACGAGAGACAGCATACCTCAATAAATGACCACTTACTTGCTGCAAAGAAATTAGTGTGCTGTGACATTCTTTAAATGCTTACATCCATATATCGCCTGTGGAAGCAAGTTGGCAGGAGAATGGTGCTGCGCTGCGGGAGGGGGGCTGAGGGGTGCCTAGGGCTCAAAATAGTCTAGCACCAACCCTGGGTATATGCCGTTTGCTTATTCATCATTGCTTTGTTTTTTCTTATTCTAGGTATGAAGATCGATTATTCTCACATGCAGACACTGCCAGGAAAGCCGGAAAAAAATGGTCCTACTGGAACTGCATACATTCTTTGAAGAGGCAGCCACAGCCAAGGTGCTTGAAGAACCAGTTGTCAAAAGGCCTCACAGTGAACAGCCAGGTACCAGTCTGGACAGTGTTTTTAAAGAAATTGCTTTTGAATCCACATCTGAAAGCAGCGCTCCCACAGCTGTTACCATACAGCTAGAAGCATATCTTAGAGAGATCACTGTGCCTTGTTGGGACAAACCCCTTAATAAACTACGATTCCCGCTCTGGCCCAAATGGCACAAAAATATCTTTCCGTTCCTTGCAATAATGAGGAAAGTGAAAGATTGTTCAGCGCAGCATCACACACTCCGACTGACAGCAGAAACCAGCTTCAGACTGAACATGCAGAGATTCCTCTGTTGCTTAAAAAGAACCTGTCACTTACATTTGAAACCTAATCATAATTGATAGACCGCCTGCTACTGTACAACTGTTAACATCTTTAGCTTATAAAAATTGTAGTAGGAGAGGGAGCACACAAATACATACTGTAAAAAAATAACAGTAAAGATCTCATACCAACTGCCATTCGCCAATATCTTCATTCCAGTGAACATAATTTTCGATCATCTCCTAAAAAAAAAAAAAAGCAAACATGAGAAAGTTGGCCTTACCATGATAAGTAAAAAGAATGATAAAGAAAAACAATAACTATGTAAGTTTCAAAACAGAAAGGAAAAAACTGCAGGTGGCATTCACGAGCAACACGTAGATGGAAACCATCCCCTTAAATACAACAATATAAACTTTTCTGTTGCATTTCTGTGTGGTTTGGTTTCTTACCAGATTGCAACAGTGGAAACTGACCCTGCAATATTCCTATGGTTTCAAAAGTATAACATTTGATTGTTTATAGTTTTAAAATGTCATGGCTTTTTTTCAATATAAAAATTTATTACAGCAAATGGTATACATGTGCAGAGTTAAATAATCCACACAATATCTATACTCTGCCTCTTTCACTAATCACGTACTTACACCACTGCTCTAGGGACCCTGTACGGTTTTGGCTTCCTTCTACTTCTACTTTGCAGTAATTATTTTCTGATAGTTACCTGATACTCTTGAGGGATAAAATTATCAATAATGATCATTTGAAGACGAAGTTCTCGACTTAGTTGCCTGATGTTCTCCAATAGCCCCTCTATTTCTCTTTGGTGTTCTTGCTGAAGATCAGCCATCTAGCATTGTGGCAAAAATAAATAAGAAATAAAGTTAAAAAAAACCAAACAAACACATTTCAACAACACAAGGACATGACCTGAAACTAGCAGGAGGAAAGTTCACAACTAACCTTAATCTGGGCACACACGGTTATATTTTTTGAGATATGACAAATTCCTGTTTAACATAGATGGGCAAATCTCCCGCTGTGTACACGGTGTTTCGACAGCGGCGCCGGACACTGTCAGAATACCTGAACGGTGCTTGCAGGGGATAGGGTTACCAATGGATCTAATTTTGGCCGATGCCTGCTGAATTAGCCAAAATTTGCTCCATGCATACCCAGTAGTGAATGCTTGGAAAACATTTCCAGCAGAGGTAGTCAGTCAACAATAAGTGAATGTACACATATTTGGGATACATATAGGTGTAAAAAAAGGCAAATAAAAAGGAAGGGAGAAAGCAGATTTTAATGGACCAGTTGGTCTTTTTCTGCATTACTTTATACTGTATAGTTAGATAGATAGAAATATATTTTACTGGCTGGGGTGTGGAAACTAAAAAAAAAAAAAAACTACCTGTCCAAGGACTAAAGTGGGGGACCCGATCTACTGTTGGAAAAGAGGCCATATTTGAGCAGGTAATTCCATTTTCCCAAATTAAAGTGAACTTTCCCTTTCATGCACATTGTACGTGTTAGGAGAGCGCTGCTGCCCGGCTACCACAATATGGCACACAGTGGAATGAGGGAAGCACTTAGAGCGAGCGCGCGCGCACACACAATGCCCTACGCGTGCTTTTATTCACATGCAGATGGCGGGTTAGTTTTAATTTTTTTTCATTTTTATTTTCCCTTATTTCTATCACACAAGGGCTAACAAGCAAGCTGCTACAGCAGCTATACAGCTGCCTAGATCACTTGTACAAAGCGAGCGTCGGCTCCCCCGCTTTACTTTTAGCCCTGCTTGCCCGCAGCATGGCTAAATATAGAAAAAACAAAACACCTGCCGCCACATGGAACTGCATGACCTGGGTGTCAGGTGATAGGATTTGCACACCCCTGTACTGGAATATAATTAAAGTAGATCTTATTTAACTATACAGATACAAACATATTTATGTATTAATAATCTTAGTGCTATCATTAGCCCCACATACTCCTATGGGCCCCTCTGATGGATGCCACTATATCATGATGGTATATCTGTGAGTGATATGATTATTAGTGACTACCCATTTTCTGTGTGTGGGGACAACACAGGGCATGTGAAGTGTGCTGCAATGTTTTACATTTTGTGTGTCCTGCCATACTTCTATTTGTGTTCTGAAATACTAAGTGAATGTGATTGAAGAAAATGCTGAAGTTAGTGAAAATATGTATGAATTGGACAGCGAACATATACAATAAAAGATCATGACAAAATGTCACAGTGGGGTTTCCCCAGTTGCATCACCACATGCTTGTGGAGGAAGTGTTGGTTCATTAGGAACTGTGTGAACATTGAATGTAGGGATTGCCTTTCCTATTGCTGTGAAATAGTCACCGACATTTTATGAAATAAGGCACATCATCAAATTCAAAACATTGTATATAGGCTAATTAGGTCAAATTAATTTAAAAAAAAAAAGAACATACTATTAAAAGCTGCTAACCAGGAGGACATTAGTTTGCACTATAAACAAGACTAAGAATGAGATAAGCTTAGCACAACAAACCTCAGACTTTGCTGCCATTAGCATGGTCCACACTTTTTTCAACTTTTTGGTTTTACCCTGCGCCTCTTCCTGTAAGCTGGTGTACTTTTCTTCAATATCCAAGCGTTCTTGCTGCATGACATAAAACGTACTATATTAACAAGAACCCACCAAATCAGTATGCATTCATAAAATAACCCAACTATTCCTATGCATAAGCATTCACTACTTCCAATAAGAAAGATGCACACTCTACTTGTAGCCCAAGGGTGTAGGAATGGCTGCCTATTGTTATCTACTGAATGTTCACCTCAAACCAATAACCATACATGAAAGCATAATTACTAATAGGGAATGAATTAAGATTTTTATACTTGCCATAAAATCTGTTTTTTGAAGTCCGTGGAGGGACACAGGAATTTAGTAATTCTTTGACAATTAGGTTATACTTCCACCTACAAAAGGTGAAACACTGGCATAACCCCCCCCCCCCCCCCCCCC